TTCTGGTTTTCCACTATGTGACGCTGAGATTGTTGGTGTGATTCGCTTCAACACGTACTTTTTTTTTTTCTTTGCACATTAAGTAGAATCTTAAATCACGCTGACATGGGAGACAAATGAGAATAATTCTAATTATCTCTGGGGTTTCAAAGTGGAAAATTAAATTGCAGTGGTAAATATTTGACTTCAGCACTTGCCTTTGGACCCTTTCACCCTATTTTAAAGATTAACCTATGCTTCATATTTTCACTTCTCTCATTTGATGATGTACTCAGTACCTTTAACTCAGAGAGAATCTTTCGCAAACATAAATGGAACTCTTTGCTGGCTTAATTAGTTCAGCATATTAGCCTGTAATTCCAACAATTAATTCTATTTCCATCATTATTCTTTTCAAAAATCTTTCTTCTTGGATTTCACTGAAAATGGATTTGGAAACAAATGACTATCCTTTTTACATTGTGTCTCAATTGAATAATAACTTAAATTGCCTGCCTCTTTCATTCAAGGATCTGAAAATATTTTCCAAATGTTGATGCAGAAAACTTCAAATCCCTCACTGATGAGGGGATTACTGTTATCTTCAGATAAAGAAACTGAGGCACAGTGAGGCTAATTACTAGGATTATTTTGTTAGATTGGTGTCATCCAAAGACTGGATAAATACTTAGGCCAAACAAAAAATGAGCATGAGTTGGAGCTGTAGTGGAATTTAAAAACCGGTCACATACAATTGAATAAATCTGTGTGAAATTACTAATTTCCACATCATAAAATTAATTTAAGCAGAAATAACTTCAGATTGCTATATTTTGGTAGGCATGACACGAATCCCGTGAATGCCTTGAATTTACAACTCTCTGTCAAGGCAGCAATATAACTTAAAACTATATTGAAACAGTTTTTGAAAAATGAAGTATTCTAAAACCCATTCAGACCTGTCGATGCTAAGCTCCCTGTTCAATTTCAGTTTGAGCCCTAGCACATTCTTGATGATGCAGTTATTAATTACAGGCCCAGAAGCTGTTTTTGCTCTCAGGACACTTACTTCATTCAGTTCACAGAACAGACAATACCAAAGGAATTATAAAAAAAAAACCCAACCTCTTTTTACTGTTCTTTAGTTCCCTGTAGGATCCTTCTTGTCCCTCATCCAGGGGATGCACCGAGGATAAAATGTCATTCATTTCAGAATCCTTTCGATTTGTCCCTACAGTGCTCGCTCTCTCTCTCTCTCTCTCTCTCTCTCTCTCTCTCTCTCTCTCTCTCTCTCTCTCTCTCCCCCCCTCCTTGTCCTGTCCCAGGACTTGTCAGATAGGGAAATGCTATCCATTCCTTTCACACATGTGGAATGGAGAAATATTTCAGTTAAAATTTTAAAAGAATTGGTAAACATGCCAGTGGTTCAAAGCCATCAAGGTGGTAAGTAGCCCTTTGGCGGTGTTGTACGAGGCAGGTCATGGAGCAGACCTTCACATAGCAGGAGGGCCCTCCCTTACACTTCAGACTGTGAAATCGAAGAAGATGCCTCTCCCCTCTTCTTTTTTAATTTTGGAGACAGTGACACAGACAAGTATTCTATAGAAACTTAATTGAGCATGGTCCTGACACAAATTTATTCTAGTCTCACATATTGAAAGCTTTAGTCTGCATTCAATGGTAAGGAAAAACCCACCCAAACTACTATAATTCATAAAACAAGAAGCAATTTACTTTGCAATTAGCTTTTTTTTTTTTTTTTCTGGGCAATTACCACAGAGACATTTAGATATGAGCTTTCTTCCTGTTTGGGTTTCACC